GACACGGGTATTTCCCGCTGGAGGCCTATGCCACTTGGCGCGGGCATTACCCCGGGCTCCCGGTACCCCCTTCGCGAGTCCCCCTTACTGCTGCTCTCAAATGCAATCTAGGAATTTGCGGAAGACACTAAGACTCAGTTCGAACTTCACATGAGCCGAACCTAATTTAAACAATGGATAACACTTAAGGCGGTCTTCTTTGATGTCATTAAGTTCGGCTCATGTGGAGTTCCACGTTTGACCTTAGTCTAAGTGTCCTATTATATTTGAAATTAAATTTGAAATTTTTTTAAAGACTCTGAGTGTTGGTTGGGCCGGGCTTTGAGCCCGCGACCTATTGCACAACCGGCAAACCGTTATCAGTGCCAAACACAGGGTACCCAGAGGCCATTGTGCTTTGTAAACAAATTTATTTGGGTTTTCTGTGGGAAAAACGATCCACTGGGTGCTCAAGGGTTATCATTAATTAGGGGCCGTTTACATGATACCGGAATGAGTTTCATTCCGGAACGAATTCATCCCGGTTGCCATATATTTCTTTGTATTTGTTTACATAATACCAGAGCAAAATGACATTCCAGAATTCGAACGAGTCATTCCGGAATGAGTCATCCCGGTTTTCATTCCGGAAAGAAACGCTCATTCCGGAACGATATTCCATACCGGTATCATGTGAACGTGGAACGAACACATTCCGGAATGAAACCGCTCTCTGGGGAGAATGAAACGAATAACGCATGCGTATCAGACATTTCAATGCGATCGTAGCTTGAACTCGTTATGTGGATTTTTCTCATGTAAACGCGGTATGAAATTTCATTCTCGAATTCATTCCGGTATCATGTAAATGGGCCCTTAGGCTTGCACACGAAAAATGACTGGGCACTCTGTGTACAAAACAAACTAAATGTTAATACCAAATGTTTTTATTCTGCATAACAAAGCCGTGATCGGTGTTAACGAAGAGGTTGTATATGAAAAATGCGACACGCTGACTGAAGCAAGGAAAGTGGACAGCATTCTGAAGCTCGCAGAGGAAGCTGGGATGTCAACGGGTTTCATCAGCACCA